ACAAATGCTAAAAGGAAACATGGTCCTTTGATGGGAAAGGATGTCCTAAGCAAATACACAATGGAAAAAATACTTGAAAAGAAAAAGTTTCAACTTACGAAACTTATTTGTATCCTAATTTAAGCCATAAAACTATAATCCAAATACCTTAAGACAATGGAGGATTATATTTCTTGCCTTGATATTTGATAAAACTGTGAATTATTAATTTTAAGGTATATCCATTTTTTTTTTTAATTTTTTATTGGATTATAGGTTTTGGGGTACATGAGCAGAGCATGCAAGACAGTTGCGTAGGTACACACATGGCAGTGTGCTTTGCTTTTCTTCTCCCCTTCACCCACATTTGGCATTTCTCCCCAGGCTATCCCTCCCCACCTCCCCCTCCCACTGGCCCTCCCCTTTTCCCCCCAATAGACCCCGGTGTTTAGTACTCCCCTTTCTGTGTCCATGTGTTCTCATTTTTCATCACCCACCTATGAGTGAGAATATGCGGTGTTTCATTTTCTGCTCTTGTGTCAGTTTGCCACATTGAGATACCATCTCACGCCAGTTAGAATGGCGATCATTAAAAAATCTGGAGACAACAGATGCTGGAGAGGATGTGGAGAAAAAGGAACACTTTTACACTGTTGGTGGGAGTGTAAATTAGTTCAACCATTGTGGAAGACAGTGTGGCGATTCCTCAAGGCCTTAGAAATAGAAATTCCATTTGACCCAGCAATCCCATTACTGGGTATATATCCAAAAGACTATAAATCGTTTTACTATAAGGTATATCAATTTTTAAAGAGTTCTTAGCTTTGAAAGATACTTGCCGCTGAAGTTTTATGATGTCTAGGATTGTGTATAAATAATCTAGCTTAGATAAGGAATAGATGAAACTAGATTGGCTGAATTTACAAGGGCTAAAGCAGGATGATAGGTAGGTATCTCAGGTACCAATTATATATTGTTCTCTTTACTTTTGAGAAAGGCTTGAAAATTTCTACAATAAAAAGTTAAATTATAAGAAGACATATACACAAATTTAAAAACAAGTTGAAGGCCAGGTAAAGTGGCTCATTCCTGTGATCCTAGTACTTTGAGAGTCTGAGGTAGGAGAAGTGGTTGAACCCAGGAGTTTGAGACTAGTCTGGGCAACATAGCAAGTCCCCATCTTAAAAAAAAAAAGAAAAAAAATTAGCTGGGCCTGGTATGCATGCCTGTAGTTCCAGCTATGCGAGGCTGCAGTGGGAGGATTGACTGAGCCTGGAGTTCCAGGCTACAGTGAACTGTGATTACACTACTGCACTCCAGCCTGGGAGACACAGCTAGACCCTGTCTCAAAAAATAAAATAGTTTAGGGGCAGTAGTTCATACTGTAATCCCAGCACTTTGGGAGGCTGAAGTGGGCTGATTGCTTGAGCTCAGGAGTTTAAGACCAGCCTGGGCAACATGGTGAAGCCCTATCTTTACCAAAAATACAAAAAATTATCTGGGCATGATGGTACCTACCTGTAGTCTCAGCTACCTAGGAGGCTGAGGTGGGAGGATGGCCTGAGTCCAGCAGATGGAGGTTTCAGTAAGCTGAGATTGTGCCATGCTGCACTCCAGCCTGGGCAACAGAATGAGACCCCATCTCAAATAAATACATAATACATATATACATACATACATACATACATACATACATACATACATACATGTTGAAAACGGGGAAATATTTGCTAAAACAGTGTTTAAAAATACAGATAAAGTTAGGCTGGGCTCAGTGGCTCACGCCTGTAATCCCAACACTTTATGAGGCTGAGGCGGGTGGATCATGAGGTCAGGAGATCAAGACCATCCTGGCTAACATGGTGAAACCTCGTCTCTACTAAAAATACAAAAATTAGCTGGGTGTCGTGGTAGGTGCCTGTAGTCTCAGCTATTCAGGAGGCTCAGGCAGGAGAATCGCTTGAACCTGAGAGGTGGAGACTGCAGTGAGCTGAGATCACACCACCGCATTCCAGCCTGGGTGACAGAGTGAGCATCCTTATCAAAAAATAATAATACAGATAAAGTTTTTAAACTAGCACATGTGGTAATGAGTGCTGGTTGTTCCTGCCATCCAATCACATTCATCTTTACTATTGGCACCCCTGTGTTACATGGGCACATTGTATCCAGAGTAAAAAACTGTATTTCCTAACCTCTGTTGTGGTTATTTATGGCCATATGACTGTGGTTGGGTTTAGTCAAATTAATATACTCAGGCCAACAAGATGAGAGTGGAAATGCCATTTGTGACTCCCAAGGAACACCCTTAAAAGATATTTCTTTTTTTTTTTTCTCATGGATGGAATGTGGATGTGGTTTAAAAGGCCATATTGACCAGAGATTAAAGCCATATGCCAAGAATAGTGAAGGTGCAAGATGGCAGGATCTTGGATCCCTCACTATTTAGATACACCGTCCTTTCAGCCATGAGCTGACTAACTTGGGTTTTCCTGTATATGAGACATAAATTTCTCCTTGTTGTCATTGCTATGGGTTTTCTGACACTTGTCATGGAACCTAATTGTAAATAATATGTCCTGTAATGAAAAAATGGTCAAGTATGTCAATATACACTTCCCAGAAAAAGAGCAGCTAAGAACACCCTGCCAAAAATGCGAATTTTAACAGTGTTTTTTACCTATCAAATCATAAAAGTCACAAATACGTTGTTGAATACTGACAGTATGGTATAGTGGTTAAGAGAGTGAAGGAGCCAGGCAGCCAGGTTCAAGTCCCTGCCTTGCTTTGTCATTTACCAGCTGATTTTACTGAAAAATTTATTTTGATTGCCTGTCCTATTTTATCTATAAAACTTGCATAATAATAGACCATGCTTTTTAAAGTTATAAGGATGACAATAATGCCAGAACGGTGTTTAGCATATGTAAATACATTGGTATTTTGTAAAAACAGATTTAAAAACAAATGACAAAATGAGTACTCACTGCAACTCAGAAATCTCTATTGCTTTTCAGGGATATTAACTTGGCAATATAAATAGCTTTTTTTTTTTTTTTTTTGAGACGGAGTTTCGCTCTTGTTACCCAGGCTGGAGTGTGATGGCGTGATCTCGGCTCACTGCAACCTCCGCCTCCTGGGTTCAGGCAATTCTCCTGCCTCAGTCTCCTGAGTAGCTGGGATTACAGGCACGCGCCACCATGCCCAGCTAATTTTTTGTATTTTTAGTAGAGACGGGGTTTCACCATGTTGACCAGGATGGTCTCGATCTGTTGACCTCGTGATCCACCCACCTCGGCCTCCCAAATAAATAGCTTTTAAAATGTTCATAACTGTTGATTATTAATTCTATATCTAGGGCTCTAGCCTGATTAAGTAATTAGAAATGAATACAAAGGTTTATTCGTACAGATGTTCACTGTGGCATTATTAATGATAGTGTAAAAGTGGAAGCAATCTAAACAATACAAAATTAACATATTTAATACATTATGATGAATTCATATTTAACTATGAAAAATAATCATTTAATGCAATAGAAAATAAAAATGAGTTTAAAAATAATCTGACATGCCTGCCTTGGCTGAGATCTCAGAAGAGGCGGAAATCACCAAGAAGGCATTTTTAGGACTTCATTTAGCCAGGAGTAACCTGTGGGAAGGAGAAAATACATCTGCACTTTTCACGGCAATTGAGATCCAAATACCTGTCACCCCAGCACCCTGAGCCCCTTCCTTCCCATCCAGATTGCACACCCATCTCTTGAGGGACTTCTACAAAATGCCGTCATCCAAGTTTGGCTGGTAGCACCCCAAACACCAAAATATAAGACTTTAACTCAGCAAAGATATCATTAGCCTCAAAATGTCACTGATCTTTGGACCAGGGATTCCCCTTCTAGAATGCTATCAGAGGAAAATATTCTGAAATCCAGTTTTTTTATACAGTGCTTGCTATAATAGTCAGAACAAGAACAATCCAAATATCTAATAATAGAACACTGGTTTAAAAATGAGACAACATTAATATGATACACTATTATGCAGTAATTAAAAGCATGCTTGTTAGAGTTTTCAACAACATGGGGAAATATTTATGCTGTAAGTCAAACAAAATAGAATGCAAAATTCAATATATTGTTTAGTCTCAACTGTGTGTGGAGAAAGATAAATAATACTAGAGAGAAATAATTATTCAAATTATATGTAGTTTGCGTCATTTTTTTTTCTTATTTATTTATATTTGAGACAGGATATTGCTGTGTTGCCCAAGCTGGAGGGCAGTAGCTTGATCATGGCTCACTGCAGCCTTGACCTCCTAGGCTCATACAGTCTTCCCGGCTCAGCCTCCCAAGTAGTTGCCACCTGGCTAATTCTTGTATTTTATTTGTAGAGACAGGGTCTTGCCATGTTGCCTAGGCCGGTCTTGAACTCCTGGGCTCAAGCAATCCTCTTGCCTTGGCCTCTGAAATTGCTGGAATTGCTGGCATGAACCACTGTGCCTGGACTTTGTGTCATTTTTCTATCTATATACTGTATGAGTCAATTATTAAAATATTAGGGAGAGGTAGAGAAATTAAGCAAATCTAATTAGTAGCAGTTTTCCATTTCCTCTTTGTACCTTCCTTCCTGAACTTTCCACATGTTCTACAATAAACATTTTTAATAATTGAAAATACAGTAACAATTTAAGTAACTATAATTGGAAATGCCTTTTCTCTAGTGTCTCAGATGGATAAACTTCACTGCCATAATACCTGCACACTTAGTGAACCCCAGGCCAGGCACCTATGATTCCAGAGAAAGAAAGCAGGCAGGATGACTAGGAAGACCTGCTACTTAAGTCGTTCCCACAGAATGCAGCTATTTTTATGGCATTATTTCTTTATACTTTTCATACAACAGAAATAATTTTATAGGTAACTAGGAACAGAATTTATAAGGCTGGAAGAACTTGGAGGGTTGAAAGTTTATAGTCGATATTTAAAATAACATGAAATCTTTTTTCTGATTTTACTCCAGTGTTGCTAGAAAATGTTGGCGAAGAACTAGACCCTATTTTGGAACCTCTTCTACTAAAACAAACCTTTAAGCAGGGTGGGAGTACATGTATCCGGCTTGGGGACTCTACAATTGAATATGCGCCCGATTTCCGCTTCTATATTACCACCAAGCTAAGAAATCCTCATTATCTTCCTGAAACATCAGTAAAGGCCAGTATATAAAATGAATGTTTCTTTATCATATTTTGTAAGTAGTGACTATATACTCCTCCTGAGTCATAAAAGAGCAGGTCTTCCTTAGAAAAACGGATTTTATCCTATTTAGGTATTTCCTGAAATTGCTGTAATAATTTCCAAATGTTGCTTTGGTGGGTACACATAAGTAACAAAGGAACCCAGTATGCTATGCAAAAAAAAAAAAAAAAAAAGTCATCAGAATCAAATTTCTACAGTTGATATGATTCTTAGATTTTCATTGTTAAAAATAGATGACATATACCCACATTCTTTCTTTGTAGTAAATGATAATATGCTAATGATTGAATTGAAATTCAGAAACAGAACTCCATTCTTCTTTCTCAGACTAAGGTCGCTGCTATCTGATTGTATGTAATTACTTAAAAGAACTGTTCTCAGTCACTGTTCTTTTAGAATACTAAAAATTCCTTTAAAGAGTGGATTTAGCTTCAAGTTTTAGTCCGTGACTAAAATGTCCTGAGATGTTGATCTGCAACTGAGCTCCTAGGTTTACAAGCTGCACCTTATTCTGTTTTTATTCCTAAGTCTTAGCCTCAGTTGGCATTCATTAAGTGTTTGTGGAGTGAGTGAATGAGTGAATGAAGGATTGCTTTCATTTACAGAAGCAAGCAGGAGAAGACATTAAGAAATGCTTATTTAGATTTTGAAAGTTATATAGAGAAGCAAGAGTTATATAGTGAATTCAAACACTTGCCTTTATTGGAAGTATTTAAATTAACATGGGCATCTCTCTGCAGAGACAGAGAAAGGATCATAATGGTGTAATTTTTTCCCTCCAGATGAATAAACATGATCCCTTCTGTCTAGAGGTTTACCTTATAAATAATGTGTATGCCAAGTGACTGAATTGTGTGATTAGGAAGACACAGAGGAACTGCAGTGTGTCCTGGGAGCTCAGAATTGAGGACATACTTAGGCTGCGCATTAAGCGACTGGCGGAAGACTAGGGGAAAATGGAGTGACCCTTGAGCTTAATTTTAAAAACAATGTTAAAACATGGAAATTCTTGGCTATTTTTAATTAATTAAAATGCAACATATTTAAACACCTTAAAATATCTATTATGTATTTACCTGCTAGGGAAGGGAACATCCAGTAGTAGTTAAGGCCATAGATTCGGGTGCTACTTGCCAGGTGTATGATTTGGGACATTTTATTTAACCTCTTTGTGCCTGAATTCTCTCATCTGTCAAGTGGGAATAACAAATATCTATCTCATAGAGTGATGTGAATTAAATAAATTAATCTGCATAAAACACTTAGAATAAGACCAATAGATAGTGTTACTATGGAGTGTTACTTATCAGAAATATTATTTAACATTTCAATATAAGTGAAAAAGAATGAAGCAAAAAAGGAAATGATAAAATCCCAGAGTTGTGTTAGAGAAAAATATTTAAGTAAATGACATGGAAAACCTTTTTTTTACTGTTTAGTAAAATACGTGAAACTATCACACATAACATCAACAATTCTCAGTTCACTAATAACTGGTTATGGTAGGAGTTATAAAACACTGTGGGGGAGGAAACTGACCTATGATTCAGTATCAAAACCTTTAAGACCCCTAGAGTGTCTTATTGCTTTATTATTTTTAATTGCTGGAATTGATTAAACAGGGATTAGAAAACATAGCGAGGCAGTTACTTGCTTTCCTTTACAAATTATAATACTTCCTCTGGATTTCACTTTTAGGATCTTTTACATACCTTTTGCTTTCAAAAGCACCCAAGGGATGGTGTCATGCTGGTATAATCCTTTTGAGTCTAAATAAAAATAAAATTATGAAACCATATTTTATGTTCTTAAATGTTTATTTGAGAACAAATAGCTTGCTTTGAAAAGTCTTGATGTGAAAAGACCCAACACTAAAGGAATATGAATGGATACATTCTTGTGTCTGAACACAATGAAGTAAAATTTGTAAAACATGCATTTTGCTACCACTGTGCCTATGGTTTTTGGATTAAAGCAAATGTAACCTGGACTTGGTTGCTTATGCCAATAGGGAAAATATCTTGAAAGCTTTATATTTTTTCCATGAATAAATGGCAAAGCAGTAGAGAATTACATGACATGTAATGAGTTTTTTAAATTGCTCAATTTCAAAAAGTACTTATCTCATATAAATTTATGATTATATCCATGTAGTCTGTAGTTAGTGGCCTCCAAGATCTGCCATGGGGCAGGTGGGGGAAAAGTTTAATCCAGATGATACCTGCCATTGAGGAGGTGCCTAGGTGTGGGTGGAAGGAGGAAGTCACCTTTCTAGGGGTTTTGCAAGAAGCTCTTTTACACTTATTGGCCATAGGTAGGACATTTTCTTAGAAAAATAAAATTACTCTGTCCCTGCAGAGGAAATATTTTCTTATATGTAAAAGCAGGGAAGCACAGTATCTCCCACCCAGTAGCAGGAGCTGGGAATACAGAGGTGTAGAGGCTAAAGCAGCTCCATCTTGGATGCTAATCCACCAAGTTGTCTTCTGATTAACCTCTGTTCCGGGAAGAGTCTAAGATTTCCAATTTATCTACTGTGCCTTGTGTTAAGAGCGGGAACTTATCATACATCCTGCCCTTCAGTCAAATAACCTTCAATTATTCTGCACATCCTTTCTAACCACTTTTCCTGTGGTATATGAGCCCTGGGTCTTGTGGGTAATGGCAAAGGGATCCACCAACTTGTCTCGCTGCCACCCAGGACACAGACATGGCTTCTGTTCCGTAAGTCCCTATTAAATGTTTTTTTCTAAGAAGCTGGGTATGTCAGCCTCCTTCTTCAGCCTCTGCTTCTGCTGATTTCAGGGGTAGGTTTGCATAGACCTGCCCACCAGGAAACAACAGATGAAAAGACAAAAAAAAAAAGTAGAACAGCAACCTCAGTAACAGCATTACCTATTTTTCATTTGTAAGAAAGGAAAACCTTTGCGCCTTGGCAATGCAAACAATTTATAAATCAGGCAAAACCTCCAAAGGTGACAAATAAGTCATTAAGAATAGAAAAATAACATTTTTGACCCTTCCTTTTTGTTTTGTTTTTTTAATTCCACCAGTAGGGACACACTGCTTATCATTAGGAGGGAGAGTGATGGCTGATTCTATGGCTGTGCAGTCTGTACATAACACAAAGGTGAAATTGAAGAGGGCTGAAATCTAGCTCCACGTTTCTTAGGCAATGGCCTGGTGTGGGGCTGATTCTGCACACAGACGACATGTTTTCCTAATCTACACAAGGTACATCATAGACTAGCAGAGGCTTGAAGGAATAAAACATAAAAACAAGAACAACCCTTTTGCTTTGCAAATAAATATTTCTGATAAGCTGCCTGTGTTGGAGGTGGTTGATTATAACCTGCTATATATAGGTAGTTTGCCCATGGGGTTGTTTCTTCTCTACTAGTTCACAGGTTTTAAAATTCGAATTAAAATTCTAATTTAGAAAAAAATCCTTAGATTTCAGTATGCCAAGATGGCATTTTTTAGCTGCTACAATTTAGGTTGTTATAGAAAATGTATTTAAAAATTTTGGACAAAATTGTCACTAACATATAGAATGCAGTGGTTTTACCTGGGTTTGAAAAAGTATTTCCTATTAAAAAACCTCCTTTCATTAGGAAAGTGATGAAATCGGGAGCAAACACTGAGTCAGCTCTGATGGTTTGTGGCAGTTGCTGAAATTTTTATAGATTTTTCAAGGGTAAGAAACAAGTTTTTTTTTTAGTTTTACTTTAAGTTCTGGGATACATGTGCAGAATGTGCAGGTTTGTTACATAGATATACATGTGCCATGGTGGTTTGCTGAACTTATCAACCTGTCGTCTAGATTTTAAGCCCTGAATGTATTAGGTATTTGTCCTAATGTTTCCCTCCCTTTGCTCCCCAACTCCCGACAGGCCCTGGTGTATGACGTTTTCCTCCCTGTGTCCATGTGTTCTCACTGTTCAACTCCCACTTATGAGTGAGAACAAGCAGCGTTTGATTTTCTGTTCCTGTGTTAAAAAACAAGTATTTCTAATATTGCCAACTGCACACATTGAATTCTCAGATACATGTGGTAGAAAATGTTTGCCTTCAATTACAGGTAGTAGATGAAGGGCGCTCCTTGGGTCCTACCTGAACACTCCAGTGGTGGAACAGATTCCTCTAAACATGCTTTGCCTTTCTCTGCTGCTTTGTCTATGCTGTTTCGTTTGCCAAGAGCAATCGTTCTTCAATCCTGGATTGAAATCACCTGGGGAGTTTTTAACCCTCCCCCCATCCCCAGCAAATACCTAGGCTACACTCCAGACCAATTAAATCAAACTCTCTGGACTTAAGACCCAGATATTACTGGTTTTTAAATTTCACAGTATGTTCTAGTCAGCAGCCAAGGTTGAAATCTTGTGGTCTGTATAATGTTGCCCTCTTCTCTCTCTTGTCTAGCTGCCAATCACTCTTAAGTTTTAACTCAGGTGTCCTTTGCTTGAGGGAAGCCCTCTTTGTCTTCCTGATCTGGATTGGGTACCCTCTGTGCTCCTGTAGCATTGCAAGCTTACCACTCTCAGAGTCCTTATCCCATTGGATGTTCTTTGTTCTTCTGTTTGCTCAGCTAGACTAAAACTTTTGAGGTCAGGGACCAGAATGTATCTTGCTTTTCTTTATATTATAGAGCTTGATTCATAGTAGCTATTATTTTATATAAAATACCTTAGGGAAGAATCATCAAGTGACTAAAATTTTAGGAAATAGAAGTAGCAGAGAGCAACTCTATGAACATGGAATGTGGGCATTCTGATTGTTCATTCAGTAAGTTTGAAGGGAACATGACTTTGTGCCAAATAAGCCATGAAGTCAAATAAGAGATCCCTGTGCTAAAGTTACTTTCATTCTGTCTAGGAGAGAGATGTATACCCATGTACTGAGACCAGCTCGGTTGTGGAGATCCCAACCCAGGCGACGCTAAAGGAATTAAGAAG